CAGCTCCTTCACCCGCTGCTGAGAATGGGCACAACTCAGTGCACATGGACCCCCTCAGCTCCCTGCCAGCCAAGCCAGGTTGTCCCATGTCACCCAGACGGGACAGGCCCCCCTGCCCTGAAGCTCCAGAGACCCCGGGAAGGGCCGACTCCTGCCTGTCCCATCCCTGCCCTGTCCTCAGCACAATGATCCCAGATCCCCCAGAGCCCCAAAGCCTCCATCAGCCCCGGCTCGGGGGTGCCGTGTCCCATGGAGGGGACAGTGTCCCAGCCACGGCACAGAGCCAGGGGACATCGAAGGACAGAAAACACCACAGAAGCCAAGCCCTGGCCCTTGGGGACGTGCTGGTGGCAGCCCGGAGGCGGCTCAACCGGAGTCACCTGGCAGCCGTGTGCATCCACTGGGGGAGGGGGACAGGGGACATGGGGACAGGGATGGTGACCCTGCAGTGTCCCCAAGCTGGCCGCGATCGCCTCACCCCCCCCTCCTGCTCAGCTGGCCCCGGGGTCATGGGAAAGGCTGCGCGGAGCAGGGACACAGCCAGGGCCATCCAGCGCCTGTCCCCTCCCGCAGCCGCCACCGCCGTGGGGACGGGGAGCACTGGGTGAACTGGGAAAGCGCCGATGCCACTGGGACCACCCTGTCCCCAGCGGGAGCCCAGCACCTACCAGATGCAGGAGTGCCTCCGGGACGGGCACCGGCTGCCCGGCAGCATCGTCCCGCTCCGGCAGCCCCGGTCCCTGTGGCGTGGCCGTCCCCGGCAGTGGCAGTGGCAGTGCCAGCCGGCACCGCGTCATGCCATCCCCGCAGCCCCTTGTTTTCCTGCCTCGCCTTCCCATCCCCGATGGTACCGGGGACACAAAGCCGCATTGTCCCTCCGACGGCCCCGCGGGTGATGCCCGCGTCTGTTCCCGGCCCCGTGCCACCACCTCTGACCCCGCTGCCACCGCAGGGCACGGCTCCGGGGGACACGAGCCCCCGCCAAGGGGCTGGTGCCGAATTAACCCCCCTCGTTTCGGCGTTAATGGCCGAGCTGTGCCCGTGCCGGGGTAGGGGGGGGCCGGGGCCGCTATAAATAGTTGCTGTTGCTGTTGCGGAGGGATGTGCTGAGCCCTGCAGAGCTCACGCAGGTGGGGCCGGCACCCACCAGCACCCAGGGGGGCACCCAAAATCACCCCTACAGAGCTCCGAGCTGGGGAGGGCAGGGAGGTGCCGCGGCGGGTGGGTTGGTGCCTTGATTTGGAGGGAAAAGCCCCCCTCCCTCCCCACCGGGCAGCCCCACCGCGGGTCCCTGCCTGGCCATCGCTGCAATGAGCGTGTCCGTGCTCAGCCGCGCTCGTCCAGCGGCTCCCTCTGCCCGGCTCAGCCCCTAGCCATGTGGGGACACCCACTGTCCCCTCCTCGTCCCCCTCCCGTCCCCGTGGGCCCACAGCCCTGAGGACGCGCCGCAGCACAGGGGGGGTCCCCTGACCCCATCCCGGCAGCACAGCCTGGTGCCACCACTCCCCCCGGGGACCCGCCAGCGTCCCCCCCTTACCAGAGGGGATGCGCCACGGTGAAGCGCCGCTGCAGGCGGATGCTCTGGTTCATCAGGAGCTTCCTGAAGAGGACGGGGGAATTGCGGGGGGAATTGCGGGGGGACGTTGCCGGAGAAGCCCCCGGCGAGGGGTGCGGGGTGGGCAGCATGGCCCGGCTCAGGGACCCCCGGCACGGCGGCGCGGCCCCGCCGCCCCCGGTGCGGAGCAGGAAGCGTGCGGCCGTCCCGGCCCCGGCGGCCCCGGGAAACTTTCCATCCCCCTCCCGCCCTGCGCCTGGGAAATTAAACAACTGTCTGGCTCCGGCAGCCGGCGCAGGGAACGGGTCCCCCCCCGGTGTTCCTGGCGGCCCGGGCACGTGGCCCCTCGCTGGCCCGGTGCCACCGGCCACCCTGCTGTCTCCCCGAGGCGGCAGCTGCTCCCGAAAGGGCAGGGGTGCTCTGCCTGGACACACGGAAAAAAATGCCACACGGCTCCCTCAGTGACCCAGACGTACGGAGTGGACGTGCCACGGTGCCACCGAGGGGCACAGATGAGCCTGGAGCATCCCAGGCACACGGTATGGTTGTGCCACGGTGCCACCGAGGGACATGGATGAGCCTGGAGCATCCTGGACATGCGGAGTGGACATGCCACGGTGCCACCAAGGGACATGGATGAGCCTGGAGCATCCCAAACACACGGTGTGGGTGTGCCACGGTGCCACCGAGGGACCAGTGAGAGCCAAACCCACCCCATATGGTGGCCCAGCCCCTCCCTGGTGCAGTGCCAAGCCCCCTCCTGGGGCCATTCCTGAGGGCAACAGGGAGCAGCAGGACGAGGTCCAGCCAGTGACAGTGGCACCGTGGGTGACCCAGCGGCCTGGCCGTGGGAGCTGGCAGCTGCCCAGCCTGATGCAGCAGGATGTGGATACCTGCTGTTCCCAGCGGCCACAGGAATATCCGGCAGCTGGCAGGGAGCCAGGGGGGACAACAACAGGGCCTCCTCCCCTACCACGGCAGGAGCGGTGGGGACCCCAAAACACACCGAGTGGGGGGGGTCACCCTCACCTCCAAGGGACTGCAGGCACGATGGTGGGGACATCAGGACGGAGGGGTGCTGGGACAGAGGGACATCAGGGCATGGGGGTGAGGGGGAAGAACCCCCCAGGCTGGTTGGCAGCCAGCAGCCCCCAGACAGCTGAGACAGGACTGGCCACAGGACAGCAAGTCCCTGACCCCAGGACAGCCAGTCCCTGTCGGGCTGTCACTGTCCCCACATGTCTGCAGGGGTGGATGACAAGTGACACCAGAGCCATGACCCTCAGCTGTGCCAGCTCCACGCTGTCCCTTGCAAGCCGGGCTGGGAGAGGCACGGGACAGGGGGAATGGCCCAAAAATAGCCCTGCAGCCACTGCGGGAGGGACTGAGGTCACCTCGGGCAGGGCCAGGCCAACCCTGCAGTGGCACCAGCTGGGCCAGGGGATGGGGACAAGCAGGGGGTGAGGAGGATGAGGGCAGGGGTTGGGTACAGAGGTGGATGGTGGGGACAGGGGGACAGGGAAGGGGGTGATGGGGATGGAGGGGATGGGGACTGTGTGGTGGGGACAGGGGTGACAGGAGCAGATGGCTATCGGGACGGACATCCCGGGGCTGGTGACAGAGGGGTTTGTCCCCAGCCCACCGGGTGCTCTGCCGGTGCCGGTGCCCCGGTGCCGCTGTCCGCCTGCCGGTGCTGAACCCAGGAGCGTCCCCACCAGCAGCTCCATGCCCGGTAACCCCTTCCCGGTGCCACCGGGGGCCGGCATCACCTCCCCGCTCCCTGTCCCACCCTTACCGGGGGGGCTCGGACTCGTCGCCGCTGCTCGGGCCGCTCTCCTCGATGGTGAAGACCACCCGGGCACCCTCGGGCTCGGGGCCTCGGGCCGCCTCCGCCAACCGGCAGCCCAGCGGTGGCAGCAGCGGGGTCCCGGAGAAACGCCGGCGGACGGCGCCCACCGCGGCTCCCGGGCCCGACGGGGCGGCCTCGGCGGCGTCGCGGCAGCGCTGCGGGGACACGGGGCGGCGGTGAGGGGCGCGGGGGGCGGCACCGCGGAGCTCTGCGGGGGCACCGTCCGTGTCCGAGGGTCCCGTCCCGGGGCAGCCCCGTCCCGTCCCCCCCAGCCGGTACCGGGCGCCGGTAGCGCGCTGGCGCCCCCTGGCGGACACGGTGCGGCGCTGCACGCCGGGGGTACCGGGGTGATACCCGGGCGAGGGGGGGCACGGGGAAAGGGCACAGCCGGTGCACCGGGAGCGGCTCGTCCCGCAGCGCACGGAGCCACCGGGACACCCCCTTCGTCCTCCTCCTCCTCCTCCTCCCGCCGCCACCGGAGGGGACTTTTCTCCCCCGGGACCCCGCCGGAAAACCCCCCGGAGCCGGCGCGCAATTACGCAGAGGTGAATAATAATTAACCGCCCATTAAGGGGATAATTAACTCCCGCTCAGCGCCGCCAGCCCGGTTATTGCTGCCCGCGGGGCCGGCGCTGAGACGCCCGTACCGGGGACACCCCTCGCCCCCTCCCGCGACACCCCCTCTCCCCCCGCGGTGCCCCCGGTGCCGGTCTCACCTCCGCGCCGAGGAAGGGCAGCGCCGTCCGGCTCCGTCTCATCCCCGTCCCTGCGGGGGGAACTCCGGGAGCTGAGGCCGGTGAGGGCTCGGTGGTGGGGACCACCCCCCCCGGGGATGGGGACACCCGGGGGACACCCCGCGACCGGGACACGTGGGTTCCTCCCCCTTCTTCCGTGATTTACGGGCGCCTGATCTCCGCCGGGCTTAGCCCCTGCCTCGGGTTTCGGGGCCCCTCCTTCCCACTCCCAGTGCTCCCACCGGCTGGATGAGGACAGGGACATCGGGCCTGAGGCCACGCGGGTGGCCCCCGGCCCGTAGCACCCACCAAGCTGTGAACCCACCGATGCCACCGTCATGATCCACCGCGGGCACCCTCCCCCCTGAGGAACTGGGGCACACCGGTGCATCCACAGAGACCCCAGGACTGAGCCCCTCCACGCCCCGGCTCGCACCGGGAGCAGCCTCATCCCAATTCCCAGGGGATGCCGAGCCCTGGCACGGGGGTCCCCGCTGCCGCCAGCCCCCCGCCCTGGCCCGCAGCCCCTTACCGGTGCCCGGTCGTCGCCGCCAGCCGCGGCCTCGGCCGAGTGCAGCGGAGCAGAAGGAAGGCGATGTGCGTGCCTGGCCGCTCGCTCCCTCCCTCCCATCCCACCTCGCCGGGGGGGCTGCGCGGCCCCCCCCACCCCGGGCACCACCGCCCCGCACCCACCCCGCCGGCCTGGGAACACCCCGGGGCCTCCAGCCCGGAGCGGGGGGACCCCCGAAAGCGGTTGGGCCCTCCCCCGGGACCGGGGGTTTTCCCCGGGCAGGGCACATGGCAGACGGGAAACCAGAGCTGAGGAGCAGCTTCTTTATTCAGCAGCGCGGGGAGTCCCGAGGGGGGCTGGGGTGGAGAGGGGGGGGTCACCTGGATGTGGGGTGGGTGACAGGGGACTCCTCCAGCACCTTGCTCTAGGGAAGAGAGAGAGAGTGGGGTGAGCACCCACACCCTGCCCACAGCCCCCCCAGATCCCTCCCCTCACCACCCCGGCCCCCCCACGCACCATGGGCACCTCGTCCAGGTGGCGGAAGCGGGTGGTCCTGCGCCGGCACAGCCGCACCAGCAGCACCGCCGTGCCCCCCACCAGCACACAGATGAAGAGGCAGATGATGACGACCACGCCGGAGCTCAGCTGATGCTCTGTGAGGGGCGAGATGGGCACCCCGTTACCCACCCTCCCCGGCACCGCTGAGCTTCATGAACCTCAGGGTGAGAGGGGGCTCAAGACCGGCTCCAGTTCCCCCCCCTCCACCATCCCATACATCCAAAACCTGGCATCCAGTTTCTGTGTCACCTCTGCCCGTGGGGGACCAGCCCAGGGGCCTCCCACCCACCCTGCTGAGGTCCCGTGACACAGAGGCTGGGGGAGAAAAGGGGAGCCCTCAATACCCCCTAGGGAGGCTGGAGCAGCCAGGGGGGCTCTGGGCTCACCTGGGCACCTGCACTCCCCCTGAGCCCCTCTGTGAGCACAGCCCCAAGTGGGGGGTCTAAGGGGACCCCAGGGCTGCTGCTGTGCCCATACCCAGTTCACCTGCCTGCCCAGTGCCCCCCAGCCTGGCTCTCACCTGAGCTGCTGGCGATGCCGATGGCCACTGTCGTTCTGGAGCTGGTGGCCAAGGTGCTGTTGGGACCAGGGCTCACAGTGGGTGTGGTGGAGTTGGGAGCAGGAGCAGGCCCAGGAGTCCTGGGTGAGGATGGGGCCGGCACTGCTGTCAAGTTGGATCTGGGCACACTTGGGTGGGATGGAGTGGCTGCTGTGGACGTGTTGGATGGAGGTGCTGCTGATCCCAGTGTCTTGGATGGAGTTGGTGTGGTGGTGTTGGATGGAGCTGCTGTGGTGGTGTTGGATGGAGTTGCTGTGGTGGTGTTGGTTGGAGTTGCTGTGGTGGTGTTGGTTGGAGTTGCTGTGGTGGTGTTGGATGGAGCTGCTGTGGTGGTGTTGGATGGAGTTGGTGTGGTGGTGTTGGTTGGAGTTGGTGTGGTGGTGTTGGATGGAGGTGCTGAAGGTGCTGTTGATCCCGGTGTCCTGGATGGTTTCATGGTGGTGTTGGATGGAGATGCTGGAGGTGCTGTAGATCCCAGTGTCCTGGATGAAGATGGCTTCATGGTGATGTTGGATGGAGATGCTAGAGGTGCTGTTGATCCCAGTGTCCTGGATGGTTTCATAGTGGTGTTAGATGCAGATGCTGGAGGTGCTGTTGATCTCGGTGTCCTGGAGGAAGTTGGTGACACGGTTGTCCCTGAGCTCCTTAGAGCCACTGCACGGGAGGGATTGGTGCCATGTCCTGGCTCTAGACCTTGGAGGAGAGAGCTGGTCAGCAAGGACACGGCAGAGCCCCAGGAAGGGCAGCAGCACCTGCCTGGGCTCCCGGTGCCACAGGGATCGTTTCCCAGGTGGTTTTCATCACACACAGAAAACTGGGATTTAGCCAATACAGGCTCCCAGAAGCACCAGATCAGGAAGAGCCTCCCAACCTGTTGTGGCACAAGCAGAGCAGCGTGGCAGCAGCAGGCAAGTGCCACGGCACAGGGACATGTGCCAGCCTGGCCCTGGTGGCACCCACCAGACACCCTCAGGGCTGGGCATGATGGGGGAAACCAGAGGGCCACGTGGGCCGTGGTGGCGTTTTCCGGGCAGTGCCCTTATCTGCTCAACTCCTGTTTGCACAAGAGGAGGAGCAGGTCCAGCCTGGCCCCAGGGGGACACTGGAGTGAAATGCCTCGTGGCAGAGCTGGCACGCAGCGCCAACACCCAGGGGCACAGCGTGGCTGGGTGCTGGGGGTCCCCATGGCTGCCAGGCCCACCAGGACAGGCTGTTCCCACCCAGCTGCTGCCTCACGCCAGGATGGTTGAACCCAGGGCCAAGCACCCTGTGCCGGGAAGGGTGAGCTGCGGCACCTTGGGGTGCAGGGTGGGGGTGCTGGGGGCCCAGGCTGGAAATGGGGGGCCCATAGCAGCACAGGGTGCTGGGCAGTGGCAGGGTGCTCCCCTCCAGCCTGGCACCTCCAGGAAGCAGGTGCAGCCCCCCCATGCCACGAGGCCCCGGGGGGGCACCATATGGACCCCCCCACCCCTTCCCCACTGAGCCACCAGTGCAGATCTCGGAGAAGCACATGGTCACCTCCCTGAACTTCCCTGGTGCCCCGCAGCACCTCCACCCCCCTCCCGGTACCCGGGAATGGGCGGGGGGAGGCCACAGACCCACCCCCACCAGATCTGCAGATCCCGAGTGCCCCCGGGACGCCCCCGGGACCCCCCCCGGTGGCCGGTACCTGCGGCAGCGAGCAGGGCAGCGGCGCAGCAGAGCAGGCAGAGCGCTCCGGGAGCATCCCGCCCGCTCCCGGTCCCGATCCCGGTCCCGCCGCCTCTATCCGCCCCGGGGGAGGCGGGGGCGACCCCGCCCGCGGCGCCCTCTGTCGGTACCGGGCGGCACCGCAGCACCGGGACCCTGCGGGCACCGGGAGGAGCCCCCCGCCCCGGGCATCAGTTTTACCCCACGCACCTCCCACCCCGGGGCCGTGAGACCCCCACTCCCCCACCCCGGGCACCGGGAGCCAGCCCTGCCGGCATCATCCCGAGGTTTTGGAGGGTGAGGGGAGAGACACGTGGGGACATGGGGGTCTGGGAAGGTGGGGGCTTGAGGACAAAGGGCTCTGGGGGCACATGGACAGCAGTATGTGGGCATTTGTGGACAAAGGGAGCTGGGAATGTGGGATGTGCGGTCTGAGGGACAGAGGGGTCTGGGGACACATGGACAGCAGCATGGGGGGATTTGGGAACAAAGGGATCAAGGGACAAAGGAAGATCAGGATGCAGGGATTTGGGGACAACGGGCTCTGGGGATTTCAGGATGCAGGGACAACAGATGTGGGGTCTTTGGGACACAGGCATCTGGCAACATCAGGATGCGGGGACTTGGGAGATGTCAGGACGCAGCAACTTGGGCGCACAGGGCTGCGGTGACACGGGGACACCAGAGCCAGGGGGCTGTGCTGGCCCTGCCACAGGGAGACAGGTGGCAGCCCCGTCCATCCATCTCGCTGCTGGAGCGGCACATCCGGGGCGCAGCTCAACCGCGCCGGGGCCGCTTCCGAGCGGCGGGGAAGGCGCTTCCTCCGCCGAACCGCAGCCGGCTGGCACCGAGCACGGGGAGCCACCCACGGCAGGGTCCCCAAGGAGCTCACACTCCTCCCATCACCCACGGCAGGGCCCGTCCCCACCCCGTGCCAGGCTCCCCGGGAGCGGGGCGATCCCAGTGCTACCAGCCCCAAAGCTGCCTCCTGTACCGTCCCCAAACGCTCCAGGCACAGAGGGTTGGTTTGTCGGGTGCTGCTCCCCGGATGGAGCAGGGATAGGGCCCCACAGGTGGGGGAACGTGGAGGAGGAGCGATGGCAGTGCCGGGAAGCCAAGGCCGGTTCCCCAAGTCTGGGGAGGAGCAGCGGAGGCTCCGACCTCGCTGGGTGCCGTGGGGTGACCCCGGGGGGCCAGGACAGGGGGGTGTCGGTGTCAGTGAACCCCCCAACCCAGAGAAACCAGGGGTCAGGCAGGGCAGAGCCACAACCAGAACCAGCAGCCAGTTCCCCTCACCCACGGGGACCCCCAATAAAATCATATCCCCCCCCAAGAGAGACCCAGTAACCTCAAAACCAAAGGAGCCTCAGTACACCCCTCCAGAGGACCCCCAGCATTCGAATCCACTATTACCTGACGAGACTTCTCCCACCCCCCCACCGCCCAGAGACCCTCTCAACCTCCCCCTCTTCTCAGAGCCCCTTTTCCAGCTCCACTCTTCCCCCTCCACCGACTCCTCGCACCCCCAGAAAGCCCCTAAACCCCCCCAAAACCCTCCTTCGCCGCTCCCCCCGCCGCCCCAAGATGGCCCCCGGCCGCGCCGCTTCCTGCCCGCGCCGCCCCTTCCCTTCCCTTCGTTTCCCTTCCCGTCCCGTCCCGTCCCGTCCTCCCGGCGCAGCAAACAGCGAGAGGCCAAATTCTCCGTGTCGCGGGGTTTTACTGGGGCCTGACTGGAATGTGTGGGGCGCGGGGAAGGGGGGCCGGGTCCTCCTCAGTCCGTGAGGGGAACCCCCAGCTTCTCCCTCCCCGCAGCCCGTGCGCGGGGGGGTGCTCGGTGCGCACCGCCCGGAGCCGGTCCTGGGCCTCCCCTCGGAGCCCTCAGGGAGCTGGGGGAGGCTTGATTATCGCTCCTCTTCCTCCCCTCGGGACCCCTCCGTCCATACCCAGCATCCCTCAGTCCGCGCCCGGGGCATGGCGGGCGCTCCCCGCTCCTTGCCCGGGACCCGTCGGTCCGTTCCCGGGGCGGGATGGGCGCTCCCCCCGCTCCCCGCAGTCCATGGCCGGGACGCACGGGCAGCTCCCCAAGTTCCCCTCGGTCCGTGCCCGGGGCAGGGCGGGCAGCTCCCCAAGTTCCCCTTCGGTCCATGCCCGGGGCAGGGCGGGCGTTCCCCCCGCTCCCCTCGGTCCTTGCCCGGGACCCCTCAAAGTCCGTGCCCGGGCTCGGGCCCCCCCGGTCAGTACGCCGGCACCTGATGCTGGTGCTGGGGCAGGAGCTGGCAGCCGCTGTTGACGTGGCTGAGCACCTTCTGCTTGAGCTGGGCGACCTGCTCGCGGAGCAGGCTGGCGGTGGAGGCGAGCTCCGTGTTCTGGCTCTTGAGGCTCTTCACCTTCTCCTCCAGCCGGGAGATCCGCTCCAGCTTCCTCTTGCGGCACTTGGAGGCGGCGATGCGGTTCCTCAGCCGCTTCCGCTCCGCCTTGATGCGCTCCTGCGTGTCCATGTCGATGGGGGACAGCGGCGGGCTCTCCCCGAAACTCGGCACCTCCGGCACGATCTGCGGCTCGTCCTTCAGCGGCGGCGGAGGCGGCGGGGGCGGCGGCGGGAGCCGCGGCGGCGGCGCCGCGAACGGCCCCGGGTCGGCGGCGTAGCTGACGGCCGGGTAGGTGCTGAGGTTGGCGTAGACCGGCGGCTCCGGGGCCATCCCGGCGGCGGGCAGCTCGCCCGCGCCGCCGCTCCCGCCGCCGCCGCCGCTCCCTCCGGCGCCGCCGCCGCTCCCCGCCGCGCCGCCGCCCAGCTGGTTCTGCTTGTGCAAGTCCTCCAGCGCCTTCACGAAGCCCTCGGCGAACTCCTGCTCCTCGGAGGCGGCCGCTTTAGGGTAGAGGAACTGCCCGCTGGTCGGGGTGGTGGTGACCAGCCCGTTGGACTGGATGATGAGCCGCTCCAGCTCCGGCGACGCCAGTTTGAGCAGCCCCAGCTCGGCCGAGCCCAGCAGCCCCGCCGCCTCGCCGCTGGCCGCGCCGGGGGCTTTCAGCGCCGCCGCCAGCTGCTCCGGTAAGGCCATGCCGAGCGCGTCCTTCTTCATCATGCTGCCGCCGGGGAAGGGCAGGAGGAGCCCGCTGCTGCCGGAGGACGGGGCGAAGCCGCTGCCGAGGCCGCTCAACACATCATCATGGTAGAAGGGTGTTTCCATCCTCCTCCCCCGCCCGGCTGCGGGGGAAACGGGGCCGGAGGGGGAGGACCGGGGCGAGCGCGGGAGGGGAGGGTTTGGGGGACGGGGGAGGCGCCCGGTGCGCACCGGCCGCGGCCCCGCTCCTGCGCGCGCGCACACGCGTCTGCCGCCGCCGCGCGCCCCGCGCCGCTTTAAATAGGCGGCGCCGCCGCGGTGACCTCACCGCGCCGGGCCGCCATTGGCTGCAGATGACGTGCTCGCGCGCCCTCGTTTGCATAAGGGGAGGGGCCTCCGCCCCGGGGAGGCGGCGCCACGCCCACCCGCCGGGCCACGCCCACCCCCCGGCCGCGCCGTCGCCGGGACAACCGGCGGGTAAACGGGACAACAGCGCGCGGGGCCCTGGGATGACGTCAGCGCGGGGGAGGGGCGGTCACGTGCACACACCTCCCCCCCCACCCCCCCTCCGCCCCGCCGGGACCGACGGGCACAAAGGGAGGGGCGGGAACGGGCACCGGCACCGGGAACGGACACCGGGAACCGGGACTGCCAACCGCCGGGGCTGACGGGCATACCGGGAGGGGCGGGAACGGGCACCGGCACCGCGACTACCGTCGCCGGGGCTGACGGACACAAAGGGAGGGGCGGGAACGGGCACCGGGAACGGGCACTGGGCACCGGGACTGCCAACCGGCACCGGAGAATGGGAACCGGGCACAGGGACTGGGAACCAGCACCGGGAACCAGGAACGGGGCACAGGACTGGGCACAAGGAACAGGGATCCAGCCACAGGGCACCAGTTGCCAGGCATAGGAACGGGAACCGGGCACGGGAACAGGCTGCCGGCCAGTGGGAACCGGGAGCATCCCTGAAAACTGGACTGGGCATAGGAATGGGAACCGGCACTGGGAACCGGGCACCATCCACAGGGCACAGGAATCAGACTCTGAGCACTGGCACTGGGCACAGTCACCGGCACCAGAACCAGCACCGGGCACTGGCACCGGGTCAGGCCCCCGCTGTAGAAGGGCACGACAAAGAAATAAACACACCGGGCCGTGGGGCCTCAGGGCACCCTCTGGGGACGGCCAGGCCACCACCCACGTGGGTCAAACCAGGACAGGCCACCAGCACCAGGCACAGCAGGGCCTGCCCGAGCCGGGCCCCGCTGGGACAGAACCACTGTCCCTGCGTGTCCCCACACTTCCCCCATCACAGCCTGTCCCGTGTCACCGCCCCGGTGTTTGTCACCGCTGCGTCCCGGTGACACCGGCGCCGGTGGGTCGGTTTGCCACCGCGTGGCGGGCGGCCCACCGTGGTTTACCGGGGTGGGGGGGTCACACTGTCACTGGGGGGGGTCACTCAGACCAGGCCTAACACCTCGGCTGCACCATGAGCCCCTTGAGGCCCCGCTCAGCCGTCACCGGGGGAAGGAGTTAAGCGGCGGTGGCGGTGGCAGTGGAGGCCGCAGACGTCACGGCCGGCCAAGCCCGCGGGCGGCTGAGGGGGTGGATCGGCGTCAGCGCTTGACGTCACCCGTGCGGGGGGAGCCAGCGCCGATGGCCGCCGATAACCCCCCTCGTGCGGGCAGGATGCGGCCCCCGCGCTGCAGGCCGAGGGTCTCGGCGCACGGCAAGGCCGCAGGGACGCCGGGGCGGGTGACGCCGAGCCGGGGCCTAATTGCTGCCAGATGGTTCCAGGCCTGCGCTAACGAGGGCGATAAATCAGGGGGTGTCAGCGCCCGGGGGGCCCCCCGAGGGGACCCGGTGGTGGGGCTGTGGCAGTGCTGTGCCGACGCCGCGCCCCCGCGGTTCTCCTGCTGCGAAGAGACACGGCGTGCCCGTCCTGTTTGCTGCCCACGGGCACGGCGTGGCACCGGGTGTTGG